ATGGTTAAAAATACTGTTTCAGTCTTTGAAGATGATACCAAGATTTGCAGTGGAATAACATCCTTACAGGATGTCTCCAACTTACAAGCCAACCTCAATGCACTGTTTAATTGGGCAACTATGTGGCAAATGAGCTTTAATGTTGATAAATGTAAAGTTATGCACTTGGCAATATAAAACACAATACCTGCGCTTAGATGAAACCACACTCCAAAATCAACAATACAGTAAAAGCAAAAAAGCAGCTTGCATACAAAAGGCAATACTGCAAATGTAAACAGAAAAAATGTAGCGCTATTTAAAAAGCATACAAATGTCAGAAATAAACATCCACATAAGTCCTTAAATGAATGAAACAAATTGCAAGACAAGATTCTGATCTCATGAACAGTCACTATACACTCAAAAAAATGAGCCCCTTACCAGACACTTTGACCGTATAGCACCGGTCAATAGGTGCAGTGTATAAGGAATCACTATGGTAGGTAATCTTCAATAGAAATCCTCTCCCAGATATAGGATGGTTCCTCCGCTTTAAAGACCACCAAAACTTGAAGAAACTCCCATCAGATATTCAAACAAAGAATAAAGAACAAAAGCAACTCATGGTGCAGTATTTCATTAAAGTTTTGTCAAATTTATTACAACAACATCAAGTACATAAAGAATTTAAAATAACCAGCATTGAATTGATATTCTTTCAAACCAAAAACTTGTCAGCCGTCCCTCCAGAACACGATGACGTCACACGCCAATGGCAGAAAGACATTGTCAGGGGTGTCTGGTGGCTAAGAATATGCATGCATCATACATACTGGGGGGGTACAACTGGGGGAGTCAATGGTGGAGAAGGATCTTGGAGTTCTGGTAGATCATAAGCTAAATAATGGTATGCAATACCAAGCTGAGGTTTCTAAAGCGAGAAAAATCCTCTGTTGTATTAAAAGATAGATATGTATAGACTCCAGAGAGAGAGAGAGAGATTTTTTTACCCCTGTACAGATCATTAGTAAGACCTCATCTGGAATATGCAGTTCAGTTTTGGGCACCAATTCACAAAAGAATATTGGGGAACTGGAGAAAGTACAGAGAAGGGCAACCAAACTGATAAGAGGCATGGAGGAGCTTAGCTATGAGGAAAGATTTATTCTCTTTTGAGAAGAGGAGATTAACGGAGGGTATGATCAACATGTATAAATACATCAGTGGTTCATATTATGAACTCGGTGTTCAATTTATTCACCTTGATTTCATCACAGAGGACAAGGGAGCACTGTTTACATCTGCAGAAAAAGAGATTTAATCTCCAAATATGGAAAGGTTTCTTCACAGTAAGAGCTGTGAAAATGCGGCATAGATTCCCTCAAGAGTTGGTTCTGGCCAGGTCTGTGGATTGCTTTAAAAAAGGTCTGGATTCTTTCCTAGATACACAGAATATAACTGGATACTAAAATTTATAGGTAAAGTTGATCCAGGAAATATACGATTGCCTCTCGGGGGATCAGGAAGGAATTTTTTTCCCTGTCGGAGCAAATTAGATTGTGCTTTGTTCGGAGTCTTTTTTTTATGCCTTCCTCTGGATCAACTGTGGGTATAGGATTATAACTTTTTTTGGTTGAACTGGATGGACTTTAGTCTTTTTTCAGCCAGACTAACTATGTAAATATGGGCCTTCCTTGGACATGGGGGGACCAGCACCTCAAACTCTTCATTTTTAAAAAATTACAATTTTAATTCCTCTCTCTCTATATGCAATGTTACCCTTTCTTTATAAAGATTAATGGGGTTACTTTTCAACCTTTCATGTATGACATCATCATGTAGCTGGCACAAAGCCCCCTCTCTGTAGGCACCTGCATCCTGGGCAACAATAAGGCAACAGCACACAGTCTCTAGGATCTCACCAGTCTGTATTCACAAATATCCTCGGATGATTGGTTGCCTGCTTCCAATATCTTCCAGACACCTTCTCTCTGTGATACCAGACTATATTCTCAGACGACATCAGCTCCCATCAGCTTCAGCAGCTTCTGGCAAAATCACCCCCCCCCCAGGCATCCAGCTGTGACCGCAATGAACAGCATACACATGATAGGCTTTCTTCAGGGGGCAAATCAGCCCCTAGTCAGTGATCTACTCCTCAGGGACAAGACACTTCTGGTTCAGGTCTCAGACTATTTATACATATTCCCAGCAACTATCTGTGCAGTCTGCCACAGGGATTGGTTGAAACAGTATAAATATTCATGCTGTCCATTTGGCTTGCTCCACACCTATGTTCCACAACTACCCAGAGAGCTCTGGATTGCAGGAGAAGCAATTAAGCCTGCAGCTTGTGAAACACAGAACAATTGCATACAGCCACACTGATTAAGATGAGCCTAGAACTAAATTAACCTAATCTTATCACCTGTATAGGAGGTAGACATATGTGAATTGAAATTCGGACTCATTTTTCATTATTCGGAAAAATAGAATGTATCTGAATTTCTGAATTACCATAAAAATTAATTTAAACGAATCCAGAATAATTACACAAAGTGTTGGTCAAAATTTGAATTCAATTTGAATTCTGATTTTCATCAAAGACAATGTATATTAGTGTTAGAAGATAGCCGTCTTCCGAAATTTCAAAAAGAATACAATGCAACAGAATAGAATACAATACAATATAAAAGAAAAGAATTGAAAATAAAAATTTAGAATAGAACAGAAAATAAAGGAATGGAATAAAATATAATAGAAAAAAAATAGAATAGATTTGAATAGAATAAAATAGAATATAGCCATCTTCTGAAATTAAAATTTTGAAAAGAATAGAATAGAATAAAACAGAATAGAAAATAATAGAGTAAAACAGAATAGAATAAAATACAATTTAAAAGAAAAGAGTACATAATACAATTTTAGAATAGAATAGAAAATAAAAGAATAGAATAGAAAAAATAGAATAGATGTGAACAGAATCGAATAGAATATAGTCATCTTCCAAAATTCAAATTTTGAAAAGAATAGAATAGAAAAAAACAGAAAATAATAGAATAGAAATGAACAGAGTAAAACAGAATAGAATAGAAAATAAAACAATAGAACAAAATAGAATATAAAATAAAGGAATAATATAGATTTGAAAAGGATAGAATAGAATAGAAAATAATAGATTAAAATTGAAAATAATAGAGTAAAACAGAACAGAATAGAATAGAACAGAGTCAAACAGAACAGAATATAATAGAAAATAAAAGAATAGAATAAAATGGAATGGAAAAAAAGAGAATAGAAAAGAATAGAATAGAAAAAATGTATTTGAGTGGAATAAAACAAAATAGAATAGAGTACAACAGAATAGAAAATAAAATAAAATAATAGAATAAAATAGAATAGAAAATAAAGCAATAGAATGTAAAAGAATAGAATAGAAAAGCAACAGAATAGAACAGAATAGAAAGAATATAACCATATTCCGAAATCTGAATACATTCAAATTCAAATGCCGATTTGATACTTTTCAATTTGGTCGAATTTGAAAACAGATAGATGAAACGAAACTAAATGAATTCTGAAAATGAAATAAACTAATTTATCAAATGTAACTAAGCAAAATGTTTAAAATAATGAATTGAAACTAAACAAATGTTTTCCTCCTGTACATATCTAATAGGAGGGTGCTACACTTATTTACGGCAAAGATCATCATCGATTCCCTTTGCACTACCATATCTAAGGTCTACATATGAAGATATATGAGAGATGGATTGTAAAATTCATTCCACTTCAGTCTTACACATCAATTGTTGAAATGGTCTCTTAAAACAAACCATAAATCATTTCACTTTTGGTGTCACTAACATTTACTAAATGTATATTGATTCACAGCGATTCCTACTATAGTTTGTTTTTCCAAATATAATTATGTTTTGTTACTAGACTGCAAATAATTGTAATCTGCTATTCTCTACAATGAACACAAAAAAAAGGAAGAATTGTGGGGTTATCAATTTCCAGCTTGATTTTTTCTGCATGAAACATAGCTGGTGTGGCTGTGTGAATGTAAAAAATGGTCTGATCTTTATATAAAGGCATGAGCAGTGCAATATAATGCCTGCGGGTCTCTTTGTGCAATCTAAAAAAAATCAATAAGCTCTGTACAAACAAGCTTCCAAACAAAACAATCAGCATCATGACTTGTGATATCTGACTTGTGCTGCAAGCTCTAGTTACTGATCTGGCTGAATGCAAAAATGGCAAATTTGACATAAATTAAATACTTAGACATTTTTGTACATTATATGGGTAAAAAAAATGGATAAAAGGTCCATATACCTACTAAGAACGTCCTGACCTTCTCCAAAAAAACTAAATTGCATAGTTTAATACAGAAAACTGCATCCTGTGTCACAGCACATCAAATATTGTCTGCAGTATCAGCAATCATTTAATTTACCAGTTACCTAAACTGCTTTCCCTCCTACTTAAAGACTAAAACACTTAAAAAATAAGTAAAGCCAAACTTTTTATTTTTTTGTTATGCTCTTCTTTCAAGTCATAGGAGTACATAAGAGGGTACTCCTGTGTCCTAAAGTCAGTTGATATTGGGCTATTGCTCACTACAGAACAATGGGGCAGACCAAAGCAGCAGACAAAATAGATTTCCGACAATATTGTCGGGATCCACCTGGCCTGTTTCATTGACTGCTGGCTGTACCTTTCAGTTTGCCACCACTCCTCCTCTGTCTCTCAATTCACTCAGTGCTAGAGCAGCAGAGAGGGAAGGGGGAAACCTAAGTGGAAACATTGCTGAAAAAAGAGACTGAGAGCTGTCTGATCAGTGGAAGGTGAGTATGAAAAGTTGGCCATACACTAGTAGATTCTTGAACGAATGTTCATACACAAAAATTCCCTGTACATTTGGTGACTTGACGAATGTTGTTCGAATGTGTGGATGGGGAAATCAGATCATTTTTTTTCATTCATTCAACCCCCTGGTTGAATGACAAAAAATGGAGAATGTGTCTTTCTCAGCCATCTCCATGAACTATTGGAGCACTCCCTAATGGATTAGGGCTTTCAGGTATTGGTAGCATTTGACTCAACCTATGTTGAGCTAGCAACAGGGGCGGACTGACAATTTGGAAACTCGGGCACTCATTGAAAAGCTGGGTGTGTGGACATTCTTTATTTCTGGAGATGGGCCTCAGGCCTGGAGAATGTGAGTGACCAAAGATGGAGGAATTTCTCCATGTTACAGGTGTGTGCGTACCCAGGGGCGGACTGAACATTTGGAAACTCTGGCACTGCCCAAGGGCTCGGGGTCAGTAGGGGGCCCCATGAGATGTCCCTGGTACCTTTTTCATAGGCTTTTTTGAGTTTGGGCAAGGACACAGGGGCCCCATGATTCCCTATTGCTTGGGGGCCCCATGAGTTGTCAGTCCGCCCCTGGCTAGCAACCAATCACCAGGCTCTAACATTGCCACGTTGGGTTGGCATTATGTCATCCCTCTCTAAGATTCAACATCAGTCGACATCAGAGCTCAGACAAGCTGGGATACTGAAGAGGGGAGGAGGGGAAGGAGCACTGCAGTTAAGTATACATTACTCGGGTGGGGGGGGGGGGGGCATGTGCAGACAGTGTCTCTTTAAAGTTCAACTCCAACTGTTTTTTTTGTATTGTTTTTTCTTGGGTAAAGTCAGGAAATTTTAGAACATCTTTCATGTTTGTGTTTCTTCTGGTGGATCTACCTTTCTGCCAGATTTGAAAGTATGTGTGTGACACAATAGAGGTTTATAGAAAGTGCTATAAATATCTGCAATGGGGTTGATTTACTAAAGGAAAATGGGCTTTCACTTTGCAAAGGAAGTTGCACTTTGCAAGGGAATTTTCCCCAGAGATTAGTAAATATGTTGACATTTTACTTTGTTCTGTGTTTTACAAAGGAACCCACTCACATGCAAAAATAAATAAATAGATATATATAAATAAAACATTTTTGCATGCACATGCTTGTTTGATGGAAATCAGCAAAGCTTCACTTCATTCATTAACCTCTAGGGAAAATTGTCTTGAAAAGTGCAACTTCTCTGCAAAGTGAAGGGGTTATTTGCCTTTGATAAATCAGCCGCATATCTCAAATAATATTCATAAGTGTTCATAAACCACAATCTTAACAATATAAAAAAATCCCCAAACAATTGATGAAATTCACATGGAGTGACTGAAATGTCATAACTGGATATCCACTGTGTATCCACATACCACAAGTGCAATCTGTAGAAAGAAAACAAAGATATTGACCTCTAAGTTATAAGTAGGTCTTATAACACTTTTACAGATATATTCTCCAAAATGCAGTCCTGAGTCCAGAGAGATATGACTCCACTCATATACTTGAGTCTCATACAGCTTTAGAAATTAAATAAAATAGAGACTGCATAGCATAATACTCAGGGCCATTTTTAATATTGATTGGACCCTGGAGAAAAATTTTCTTGCGCCCCCCCCCCCCCCCCCCATGCAATTTTGCTCTCTACCTTCTCTGAGACAAACAACAAATAGCAGCTAGACTCAAAATTAGTTTGCTGCAGCAGATCAGGGGCAGCGATTGCGACCGGTTGCCAGACTGGTTAGAGCAACTCATTACTGCTCGCTGGCTGGTTGCTAGAGGTTACAGCACACACTACGACTCACTTATTAGTTGCTGGAGCTTACTGCACATCAATGCTGCTCACTGATTGCGTACCATAGGTTACTGCACATCATTACCTCACTGATTGGTTGCTAAAGTTACTGTGCATTATTACCACTTACTTATTGGTTGCTAAAGGTTACAGCATGTCATTACAGTTCACTGATTGGTTGCAAGAGATTACAGCACATTATTACCGCTCACTGGTTGGTTGACAGAGGTTACAGCACAGCATGTACATCCCCTCTTTGCTCACCTGTACACCCCAAACTGTAATTCCTTCTCTGTCTACCTCTGCACATCACACCCACACCCACTTTGCTTACCTTTGCAGATCAGGCTGATGGTAGGCTCAGTAACCACAGTTGAAGGCAAGACTTTCAAGCATGCCCCTGTATACCTCCCCATTGGGCAGAATTCAGCAGAGTTGATGGTGGATGGAAACTCAGGGGTGCATAATATAAATATGAATCTCGCCGCTATTTACATATCAATGCTGGTTATTTACATGTGGATGCTGATATGATCTGGGTCAGCTGTACACTGCAATAGGGTATAGCTGGGCAGTATAAGTGACATCACTTTACACTGAGATATTAGGAAACAGCGCAGGAGGAAGACTTCAAAGTAAAAGGGTATGTAAAGCAGGACAATTGGCAAATATGGGGCAGCTGCTTTGGGCCCCACGAAACTGACTGGGCCCAAGGCAGCTGACTCTTTTGCCCTGCTTTAAAGATGGCCCTGATAATACCGCTTGATTAAATCACATAAAAGCCAAGCAATAAAATGAACACACATTTAAAGAGTGCATATGTTGTATTAAATAATACCAGCTTGAGATATAGAATGATTGGAATGGCATCCACATTCTCTCATGTGAATCTGCAGGGTCAACCGCTTTCCAAGAGCATACATGATGATGTCACCTATTACCACTCTATGCATTTTCATCATTCTGATGTACCCCAGAAGAAAGGGAAAGAAGACAGATCACATTCTATATCCTCACTAGATTAATCATATTCCTTGGCAATAGTCATAAAATAATACATAAGAGAGGCATCTGGTCAGTCCGTAAAGCTTACACTGCATAATATCTGATCATAAGAAGTTTATATAAAATATGTATTCACAATTGAAGGACATTAACACACTCAATACAAAATGTTTATTGAAAAATTAATATTAAAGTCCATTATATATATAAAATATCCTTATAACAGTCAGAAATGCATTACATATTAAGGAATCAAATTAAATCTGGGCAGCACAGTGACTAAATGGTTAACACTTTCCGCCTGGCAGTACACGGGTCGTTGGTTCTAATCCCAACCACAGCACCACCTGCCTGGAGTTTGCATGTTCTTCTTGTGCCTACGTGGGGGTACTCCGATTTTCTTCCACATTCCAAAGACATGCTGGTAGGTTAATTGGCTTCTCTCTAAATTGGCCCATGTATGTATGAATGTGAGTTAGGGACCTTAGATTGTACACCCCTTGAGGGTCAGGGACTGATGTGAATGTACAATATATATGTAAAGCGCTGAGTAAATTGACAGCGCTATATAAGTACCTGAAATAAATAAATCTAACCCCATATTAAGGCCTTTAGGGTAAAGAGTTTCTAATTTATAAATCCAATGTGTTTTACTTCTAGGGATTACTCCAGTAATCACCTTTCCAAATCTGTATCACTCTGGGAATTCCTAAAAATTTTAGACCCCTAGCGTCTCTATTGTGGAATTTAGCAAAATGCGATGATGGACTATGGGGTTTATTTACTAAACACAAGTAGAATGCTCACTTTGCAAGGGCAGCTGCACTCTGAAAGGGAAATTTCCCCAAGGATTAGTAAATGATTGGAAGCTCTACTGACTTCTAGCCAATCATGTGCAAGAAAAGAGTTGTTTTTTTTTATATTATTTTCCATGCATGTGATTGGGTATTATTTGCTAAATAAATTTTACCGCATTTACTAAGTTCTAGGAAAAATTTAGAACATAACTTCACTTGCAAAGTGAAAGGTTTATTTGCCTTTAGTAATAGAACCCCAATGAATGTTCAAACCTTTTTTGATGACATTGAAACACTCCCCCAGAAGAACGCTAACCTGTCTGATAGTGTGACTCGCTGGAAGCCACATGGGCAGTCTAGAAAATATAAATTAAAAAAAAGTGCACCTAGCCTCCCTACCTCACTAGGCAAGTAAGTACTCCAGTGTCTAAAACACAAATCAATAAACAAATCATTACATAAATCAATCCAGTTGAGTGCAGCACTAAAATAGTCCCTATACCTACTAGTGCCAAAAATGTTTATATCAAATATACGTATATGGGATGGGGCCTAGGTGACAACGTGACATTTAGGAGCAGCTTTTGGTTTGTGCTTGGATCTAGTACACAGTGACATCCTTGCTCAGCGTCCCTTTCTGTTGCATATGTGGCTTTCTGTGCACAATTGAGTGCACTTATACACTTGAGAGTGTTTCATATTAGTCTTCATAAAAGTTGTGATTTTTATCGAATGCACTATGAGATCTCTGTGTGCTTCTTTCTAATCTGCTATTACAACTTTGGCCCTGCAAGTGTGATTTTCTGGATGTCAATTAACCCTTAGGGTTGAGCAAATGCTTTTTGACCTTGTTGTATGTGTTACACTACCCCCTGAAGGAGTGGCTTGTATTTTTGCCCAGGTCTCCCCTTGTTTCACCCAGCACCCAGACACAGAGTATTTTCTACAGCCAGGTACACACACTCTTTCACTCGTTGTCTTCAATGACCAGTCTAAGGGATGTTTGTTTTGGAGTTTAATTGTAGAACTGGCGATAGGGATGGGGAATTTAGTAAGGTACTCCAAAATTAGAACTTTTCACAAGGACATCTAGCTCTTAATTGAGCACTTTTGAAGTCCTGGCTGAAAGAAGATAGCAGGCTTCTCTTTAAACTGTAGTAACAAGTAGTTTAGGAGTGAGCAAAGTCCCTTTAGCGGTAGTAGTAGTTGCGGGCTGAGCTCCTCCTATGGCAGTCCAAAAGTAATAGAACTAAGCAAAGGCCTTTGCAGTAGCAACAGTTGGACAAGCTCTTCAGAACATCAGCCAGTGTTCCAGCTGGGGTAGCAAAGCACACAGAGTCCCCAAGAACTCTCCATGTCTATACTCACAGTCCAAGGACAGCATGTCAGCCTCCTTCTAATCTTCCGAGTGACTTTCTCCAGTGATACCAGACAGCTCTTTGGATGACAGCTCCCCTCAATCAGCTTACTGTAGAACTAGGGTCACTCTTCCTAACTGCAGGCCTTCAGGTAGCCCACCTAGGACCCATATGGCAGCAAGTGCCAGGGGAGGCAAGCCTGCCTCTAGCCTGCCTTGGTGTAATCCTCTCCCAGG